GCTTAGCGCACAAGCCACGGCAGAACTGGGAGTGGCTAATATCTAAAACAGTCCTGTTTGCCGCTGTCCGTGCATGAGGACACTTTGAGCGGTAAGACCAGGACAGGACGAGGTTGAGTGGACAGCTCTCCATTCCAGAGGTACAGCAGTGGAACTAACCTCTGGAAAGCTCCGGCCACAGACCCACGCACATTTTGAAAATAACCTTTCCCGGGGGTTCTGCCCCAGACACGCTTTGTTGGGCAAACACATTATCCTCCATGAGGAGATAGAGATGCGCCACCTGAGGACACCCTGTCCGTGGGCAGCCCTGGGGCAAGGTGAGGAACACAACTGTCTCAGGAAAGCGAGACACTCTTCGTGATGCTAAAGGGACAAGGACACAGAAGTCTGCTGTGAATGGAGTGCAGCCAATCACAGGTCCACACAACGGGCGCAGGCCAGTGGGAGACAGGACAGCTGAGACCTTACCTTGCGTGGGGCCTTTACTGCTGCTAACACTTCTACGGCAACTTTCAAGAACTCGCCGTTTCTCTCTTGGCTGCCATCCAGATGAGGCTTCAGGCTCGCTGACAGTTACTGCCCTTCACGCTGATTTGACCCCCAACATTCGTCTTCCAGCCCAGAGCCTGACAATGCAAAGCCAGGGGCCTCTCCCCAGGCCACTGGCAGCCCCAGGCCCTGAAGACCCGAGATGCTAGACCGCAGCTGTCCTTGGGGTACGTTTCCTCCTGGCAGTGCACCCACATGTATGTATAACCACACACAGATGCCCGGACTCCTTTGCACAGCAATTCACACACACCTGCCGTGCATACATGCACACCCATGCGCAAGGAAGCACACTCATGTGCACACCTGTGTACACGTGCATAAATACACACATTAGTTGTTCCACAACCTATAAGCAAGCAAGCTAACACACAGGTCAGCTTCCTGGGACAAGGGTCGTCACTTTTCCATCCTTCCCTGCAGGACGCCCCCGGCTACATGCTCTGCTCACACAGTGGAGTCCACAGGGCAGCTTAAGGTGCAGCAGGCATGGTTTGAGGACGGGGATGGAGGGGCGCCTTCCTGGGGAGGACCACCTGGGCGGCCCTGGGCAGAGCTAGGCCGCCAGGAGTTGCACTACTCCTTTAAGACAACGAGCCAAACAGAAAGTCACCATCAAGCCTTTATTCTCGCCTGGCCAGAGCTCTGCAGCGACCAGAGGGAGGTGCCGGCCCCCCGTTGCGAGGTCTCCTCCTCGCAGAAGGTGCAGCTAGGGCGCATCAGCAGATGAGCCCCAAACCAGAGGCTCCTGCTCTGCGGGCTTAGAGCCAGGAAAGGAGAGCGGAGGGCTGAGCCACGAGTCAAGATGCAGAGGGGCGTCTTCAAGCCCCCAGTAAGGCGGCTGCGCCCAAGAGTGTGGCTGCCAGGGGGCCCCAAGTCCTCAAGCACGGCTGCCCTTGAGACCCTGACAGCCTGGCTGGGTCCCGTGCCAGGCGTGAGGAGGGCAGTTTGATGATGGGGCCAGCAGGTAAGGCCTGGGAAGTCACCTGCGGTCGGCTGAAGGCTCCCACCCACCACCCTGGGCTGCAGTCCCCACCCAAGCCCCAAGGCCCTAGGATGCAGACCTTTCCTGCAAAGCAAACCTCTGGGGCCCAGTCCAGAGGACGGCGGTGGTCCCTCTCCTGGCTGTTCTGCGGTTCTTGCCCCACAGAGCTTGGACCCCTGGGCAGGGCAGGCAGCACGGTCCTCTCTCCAAAGTGCCTGGTCACCGGGCCTGCCAGGGAGGTCCTCGGGCCAGCCCCGGTGTCTCCCCGACATGGGTGCGGCCAGGGCCGAGGCTGCCTGGGGGCACTAACCAAGGCCCAGAGGAGTCAGCCCCACCCCTTCTTTCTGGGGCAGAGTCAGAACTGTACTCCAAGCTGGGGGTCAGGGGTCACCAGGAGGCGGATCACCCTGGCTCTGCACAGGACACCAGTCTGTGTCTGGGTAGAGAAGACAGTGGACGGACTTAAACCTGGAGGGGGAGGCAGGGGGTCAGGGCTGCGGGAAGAGTGGGCCTGCAGCAGAGCTCGCTCGGGCCCCCGGCAGGCCACTCCTCCCCGCCACCCCTCACCGTGTGGGGTCCTGCTGCAGGCTGAAGCCGCCCGCCACGTTCACCACATTACGTGGGTTTTCAGGGCCCCCGTAGCTCAAGGTGACCTGGAAAAGAGGTGGGTGAGACTCCGCCATGTCCTGTACCGGCCGTAGCCTCCCGGCTCCCCATGCGCCGGGCAGCCTCCACAGCTCCTGAGAGTGACGTGGGCTGAGAGGCTCTGCCAGGACAGAAGGTAGCTCAGCAAGGGCACTAGTGCCCATGTGGGGGTGAGCCTGGCCTCTGAACCCCACCACCCCCTGGACCACTGCCCACTGCCCTGGGACTGATCCCCGGGAGAGGCTCAGAAAGTGCCCTTTACCACCGAGCTCCGCAGGCCAAGTCAGAGCACACAGCAACTTTGCTGCAGCACTGGGACCCACCCCTGGCCAGACCCTTGCTTAGCGGGAGATCATCTGGGCAACCCAGGGAGTGGGGCTGGGGCCGGGCCAGGTGCTGAGGTGAGGCGGGAACCCGTCCCGAAGCACCAGGGAGAGCCTAGGGGCCGTACCTGCCGGAGCAAGGTGTCTGGCGACAGCCTCTGCAGGTTCTCCAGGTGGGAGTGGAAGAGGGGGCTGTGCCGCAAGCGGGCGCCCAGCAGCCCCTCCACAATGTAGCCCACGGTGCAGTCGTCCGGCAGCCGCACCCGCTCCGCTGTGCTCATGAAGCTGCCCAGGCTGCAGGTGGGGGGCAGTTAGCACCTCCTCAGTACCCCCAGCATAAGCAGCCATACCCCTACACCTCCACTCACCTGGCCCACGGGCTCATCTTGAGGGCAAGGCCTCTGCTCAGGCAGAACCCAGCACCCCCAGTTGCAAACCAGAACTTGATGGTGGTCACCTAGAGAGGAGGGGCCGCCATCAGGCCTTGTCTCCCAGCAGCTGTCTGGATACCCAGAGGGCCAACCTCCATCAGCCACTTAGCAGCTCCCACCCCAAGCAGACAAGGACTCATGCTGCCAGCTGTCTGTGGCCCAGACCCTTCCACAGCCCCTTGTCACTTGCCAGAGCTCCTGACATGCCCCACTTGAATGGGTCGGGCACCTGCCCCAGCCCCGACTCTCCCTGCTGGGATGTCCACACTCTCAGCTGCCAACTCACGGTTCCACCTCCCTGGATCCTCTCGGTAGCCTCAATGGGGTGGTCCAGGCTGGGCCGCCCCAGGTAGATGTCCTGGCTTGGTGAGAAGGCAGAGAGCAGCTGCAGCAGGCCCCTGGGGTTCACGTAGTTGTCATCATCCACGTGGCAGAACCACCTGCGGGCAGTGAGCAAGTCTCATGGAGTGGGGCTGCCCAGGTGTGTGGGCCCAGCCTCAGCCCTGGGCTCTCCAAGGGGTCTGAGGAGGGCACCACGTACTTGCGCCCAGACTCTATGAACTTGTCGTACTCCACTGACATCTTACAGCACAGTGCCTGGCGGGTGTGCACGGCCGAGCAGTTGGTGTTGATGACATGGCTGCCTGCAGGTTGGGGAAATGGGGGAAGAGGAGGGCCGGAGGGAAGCCTGCTGTCAGCTGCCCCAAGGAGACCAGAGTAAGACACTGCTGTCCGGCAGGCTTGCCGTTTGGCTCTGCTCAAGGCCCCAGGCCAGGTCCCGCCACAGCACCAGACGAGCCTCACTTGGCTGACCCTACTGCTGACCTCTGGGATCCAGGCAGGTAACATGCCCTTGGAACACTGTGAGTGGAAACCCACCTGACACTGGGGAATGGGACTTAGTGGGGTGCCGTCCTGAGTGGGCAGGCGTGGGAGGGATGGTTCCCTGCTGGGGCTTCCACAGGGGATGTGGCTCTGGCCTGAGGCCCAGGGATGTCTGCCAGTGGCTGAGGGAGGCAGAGCATGGCTGGCAGGGTGGAGCCCTGGACACTGGGCTGGCACAGTGGGCATCCTGACTCTGCCCTCTACTAGCTGTGTCACCCAGGACAGGTGGCTTGCCCGCACCCCGGGCCTTTGTATGTAACAGGGGGTCGTGTGGCACTAGAAGGAGGGACACATGAAGAGGGAGCCCTCAGGCACGCTGGCAGGGCTGGACCAGGTAGGACACTCACCTCCCTGGCGCTGTAGCTCAGGGTCGTCCCCATCCGTGAAGATAAATGTCTGGAGAGAGACAAGCTGTGAGGTGTCAGGGGGCTCCCCGGGAACCCTGACCATGGCAGGGCCCTAGCGGGGGTGAGGCTGCCCTGGCGCCAGCAGGTGTTCAGGCTTCACAGCAGAAATCTCAGAGCAAGTGGACGGGGCTGGCCTGGGCTTGCAGATGTTTCCGAGGTTTGGGCCCAGGGTCAGCCGGGAGAACTCACCGAAGCCTGGGGCCCAGGAGGGGCGGGAGCCGGTGGGTGCTGGGGGTCCTGGGTCCCCACAGATTCAGGGCCCGGGCGCGGCCACCACGCTGGGGACACAGGGGGACCTGGGGCAGGATCTCAGGGAGGGGCTGTTTGCAGGATGCCGGGGTGGATCCTGGGGCGAGGGGGTGGGGATGGCGGTCCTGGGCGCAAACATCTGGGGTGTCGGGCGGGAGCGCCGGAGACCGGGGAGCGGGCCCCCGCGGATGCGGACACGGGCGCTGGGGGCGGGGCCCCCCACCTGCCGGCGGGCCCGGGAGATCCAGGTGCGCAGCAGCAGGTCCAGGCGCGGCCCGTGGTTCTTCCGGGTTGTCTTGACTGCGATGAAGACGTCGTCGGGCCGCAGGCGCGGGGCGGCGGGCCGGGCGGGGGGCGCGCGCGGGCCAGGGTCCGGGGCGGGGTCCGGGGCAGGCGCGCGTGGCAGCGGAAGCAGAAGCAGCGCGGCCAGGGCCGCGGCCAGCGCGAGGCAGGCCCGGCACAGCGCCCCCCGCGCCCGGCTCATGCGGTCGCGGAATCTGGGCTCCTCCCGGGCAGCCGCGCCGCGGCCCCTTTAAGAGCCGCTCCGCCCGCTCCGCGACCCGGAAGTGGCGTCCGCGCTGCCCCGGAAGTGGACGGCGCGCCGCGGCGGGGTGGGTGAAGATGCCGCTGCCGGTCCAGGTGTTCAACTTGCAGGTAAGCAGCCGCCCCTCCCCGCGCCCGGCGCCCCAGGCCGGGCCCCCTTCGTCGCCGCTGGCGCGGCCGGCGCTCCCGCTCTCTCCGTTCGGCAGCAGGCCGGCCGTGGGTCAGGGTCGGGGGTGCGGACAGTCAGGGCAGGATGAGGGCCGGCCCGGCCCCCTCGCCCCCGGCAGAGCGGTGCCGCGCCCCTCCCGGCGGTACGGCCGACCTCTTCCCGCCGGGCGCGGCCGGGGACGGCAGCCTGAGCGCCAGCCTGCCGGCCTGTGCGCTGCTCTCTGAGGTACCTTCCAGGACGGGCCCAGGAGCCGCAGCGAGCGAGCCGGCGTGGGAGGCCGGACCCCGCCCGCCGCCGCCGCCGCCGAGCCCGCGCAGGAGGGGCGCCGCCCCTCGGCCCGACCGCCGCTCGGACGCTCCGGGTGGAGGGCGCCTGCATTTCTGCCCTGTGGGGACCACGGGGGTCCCCCGGTCGTGGTCCTCCGATGTCTGCTTGTTTGCCGCAAAGATGGGCGTTTAGGATCGGGCCAGGGCTTTGTGCCCCCCGAGCCGCTGTTCTTGCGGGGCGGCGCCGGGGAAGGGCTGGCGCACGCCCGTGGGGGGCAGGATCCCGCCTGGGAGACGGCAGGCAGGGCGGACCTTGGACGCAGAGAGGGAGAGGGCCCCTCGCCTTCCCCGGGCGGTTGCTGCGCGGGGTGTCAGGGTGCCTGCCGTGTTGCAGGGGGCCGTGGAGCCCATGCAGATTGACGTGGACCCCCAGGAGGACCCGCAGAATGCGCCTGATGCCAACTACGTGGTGGAGAACCCCACCCTGGTACAGAGCCCGGGGCGCACCAGGGGCGGGGAGGGGAGGGGGATATCAGCCCTGCTGGGGGGTCCGGGCCAGGCTCCCCTCTCCGGCGATGTTTTTATTTGACCCATTACTGTGTCTAATTGCCCACTACAATGGGCACTAGCTCAGCTCCAGCCCCTGAGCCCACCGTCTCCCTACATTGAGCGGCCTCGTGTGCTGGGCTCCCTGCCACTGGAGCCTCAGCCTAAGGACAGGTCTTCCTTGGGCCCCAGCCTGTGGTGTGCTGTCTCCCCACTGCTCTGGTGGCCTACACTCGTGAATGGGTGCCCATCCGGCTCTGCCCCTTCACCCCCCAGGGCGGAGCTCCACTTCAGGGGCTTCTGCACTGGCCCGCCCCGAGCGGACTTCCTCAGCGCCTGGATAGCTGTCCATCTGCTGCCCACATACCCTGTTGCCTCCTCCGTTGGCCTGGGGCCTCGGGAAGGGCTGCATTCGGGCCCCTGCACCCGGCCCACTAGCTGGGGCTTGGGTTCTGGTGTCACACCTTGCACGATCCACCCCCACAGGATCTGGAGCAGTATGCAGCCAGCTACAGTGGTCTGATGCGCATTGAGCGACTGCAGTTCATTGCTGACCACTGCCCCCCTCTGCGGGTGGAGGCTCTGAAGATGGCGCTCTCTTTCGTGCAGAGGACTTTCAATGTGGACATGTACGAGGAGATCCACAGGAAGCTCTCTGAGGCTACCAGGTGAGGCCAGGGGCCTGAGGTGGGAGCAGGAGCCCTGCAGGCATGGTGTGTCCCCTGGGATGCAGCCCTTGGCAGGACCCTTCCTGTGTGCCCGCATGCCCAGTCCCACCCTGCAGGAGTGCTCGCAGCAGCACTTCCACAGCAGGGTGGCCTGGCCATCCTCATTGAAAAGCCAGGAATGGCAGTAAATGGCAAAACATGCTAGGTTCTTGCCCCTGGGCTGAGAGGGCTTAGGCTCTCTCCTGTCACCCCGGCTTTTCCTGTGCGGGCGGGTAGTCACTCCTCACCAAGCAGAGCTTGTGGAGATGGCAACTGGCTTCCCTCTTGTTGGCTCGGCTGCGTGATCCCTTTCCTGTTGGGCTTCCCCTCCAGGCTGCAGGCTTCTGCGGTCAGGACCGCCCCCGTGCCCCCGTGCCGGCTGGGCGCTCTCCTGTGGGGGCCAGGGCCGCTGGGAGGCGCCTACCCGCCTGCACATCGGCCCCTGACGGCCAGGTCCTCCCTCAGGGAGCTGCAGACTGCACCCGACGCCATCCCTGAGAGTGGCGTGGAGCCCCCACCCCTCGACACAGCTTGGGTGGAGGCCACCCGGAAGAAGGCCCTGCTGAAGCTGGAGAAGCTGGACACAGACCTGAAGAACTACAAGGGCAACTCCATCAAGGAGAGCATCAGGTGCCGCCCTGGGGTGGGCAAGCAGGGGCGGGAAGGGCGAGCAGTTCCTGACCCGCGTCCACTCATGGCTGTGCCCGCAGGCGCGGCCATGATGACCTGGGTGACCACTATCTTGACTGTGGGGACCTCAGCAATGCCCTCAAATGTTACTCCCGTGCCCGAGACTACTGCACCAGCGCCAAGCACGTCATCAACATGTGCCTCAACGTCATTAAGGTGGGTCCCTGCCGCAGGCGGTGCGGTGGCGTGGAGGGGCTGCAGGGCAGCACTGCTCTGGGCCAGGAGGGGGCGCCCCACGCTGAGTGCACCCTGCCTGCCTGCCCAACAGGTCAGCGTCTACTTGCAGAATTGGTCTCACGTGCTGAGCTACGTCAGCAAGGCCGAGTCCACCCCGGAGATTGCCGAGGTAGCTGCCCACCTCAGGCCCTGCCCTGGGAGCCCCTGCAGCCCGGGTGGGCCTCATCCTCCCTGATCCCGCCTTTGCCCCTCTCAGGTGGGGGCTGGGTGTCCTGTCCGGGGACTTAATGGGTGTGGAGGGCATCGGTTGCTCACACGTGCCCGCTTCCCTGCAGCAGCGTGGGGAGAGAGACAGCCAGACCCAGGCCATCCTCACCAAGCTGAAGTGCGCTGCAGGTGAGGCCCGGGCCGCAGGGGGCGGGTCGCCAGGGCTGACCCATCCTGCTTCCACCTGGGGACCCACGCACACCGTGACCAATTTTTGAGTGTTCACTACCCAGTAAGTGGGCCTCATCAGCCAGAGAAAATGCAGGAGATGGCACCCGTAACTGTGGGTGACACCTGCCTGACTCAGGGCCAGTGTGTACCCAGTGTCTAGGCATGGAGGCACTGCCGACAGCCATAGTCACAGCAGGTCCCTTGCTGGCCAGCTGTACAGCCCGGGGTGGGTCAGCCTGCAAGTCCTTGGCAGTGACATCAGCACGGCTTCCCTGGGCGCGACTCCTGGAGCCCCGTTCCTGCTCATGGGTGCCCTTATTCCCCTCGCCAGCCAGTATTTCTGTTTGATGCTGCAGAGTACCTGGGGCAGGAGAGGCCAGGGCATGCTTGCTGATGGCCCTGGCAGCTCCCTCCAGGCACCAGGCTTTATCCTGTGCCCCCTGCCCCCAGGCCTGGCCGAGCTGGCCGCACGCAAGTACAAACAAGCTGCGAAGTGCTTTCTGCTGGCCTCATTCGATCACTGTGATTTCCCCGAGGTGAGGGGCAAGAGGGTCTCTGGTGGGGAGCCCACTCCAGCACTTGGGAGGCAGGGTGAGAGCCCGGGGGTCAGCTCTCTGGGGAGTCTCCTGCAGTGGGGTCCCGGGCATTCCCTGAGCAGCAGGGGGCAGGAGGAGTGGAGCCAGCCTTGGTTTTGGGCTTTCTCGGGGCTTCTGTCAGTGACCCCAGGTCTCTGACCTGCCTCCCTTCTTGCCCTCAGCTGCTTTCCCCAAGCAACGTGGCCGTCTATGGTGGCCTGTGTGCCTTGGCCACCTTCGACCGGCAGGAACTGCAGCGCAATGTCATCTCTAGCAGGTAGGTGTGGGTGACCCTTTCTCTGGCCCTGCTCCTCCCTGTGCCCCGGGCCCGTCCCTCCCTGGGACCTCAGAGCTGGCAGATGGCGCAGGCCTGCTCTGAGCGGTCTGCCCTCTGCAGCTCCTTCAAGTTGTTTTTGGAGCTTGAGCCACAGGTCCGGGACATAATCTTCAAATTCTATGAGTCCAAGTATGCTTCGTGCCTGAAGATGCTGGATGAAATGAAGGTGAGGGGCCTGGCCTGGACGGAGGGTGGGCGAGGGCAGGGGCCCAGGGCAGCCCCTCTCTGACCAGCTCTTCCTGCCAGGACAACCTGCTTTTGGACATGTACTTGGCCCCCCATGTCAGGACCCTGTATACCCAGATTCGCAACCGTGCCCTCATCCAGGTAAACATGGGGGGACAGGCCAAGGTGGGGCACTGCCGTCCAGAGGCTGCAGGCAGCCGACGGCCCCTACGCTTTCCAGTATTTCAGCCCCTATGTGTCGGCTGACATGCGCAAGATGGCCACGGCCTTCAACACCACCGTGGCGGCCCTGGAGGACGAGCTGACACAGCTCATCCTGGAGGGGCTCATCAACGCCCGGATTGACTCCCACAGCAAGGTGTCCAGGCGCGGGCGGGGCTGTGGGGTGCAGGGAGGGCCTGGAGTCCCGCTGAGCCCGAGCCTCTGCAGATCCTGTACGCCAGGGATGTGGACCAGCGCAGCACCACCTTTGAGAAGTCCCTGCTCATGGGCAAGGAGTTCCAGCGCCGTGCCAAAGCCATGATCCTGCGGGCAGCCGTGCTGCGCAACCAGATCCACGTCAAGGTGAGGCCGGTGGGGGGCAGGGGGCGCAGGGGGCGCACCTGTGCACACCTCCCACACTGAGCATCTGTGTCCCCACCCCAGTCACCTCCCCGAGAAGGGAACCAGGGGGAGCTGACGCCAGCCAACAGCCAGTCCCGAATGAGCACCAACATGTGAAGGTGCCCTGCCCCACCCTGAGCACCTGGGGCCCACCAGCCCTGGGCCCCCACCTGGGCTTCCATTGCCCAGCTTCCTAATGCCCCCTCCACCCTGCTGGCCCCTGTGTGTGTGTGTGTGGCGGGGGGGGGGACCCCGGGAGGCAGGCTGCCAGTCCGGGCCCTTCTGGAGAGGCCTGCAGAAAGGCTTCTGGGCGTGGCCCCAGGGCTCTGCTGGGGCACCGCCTCTCCTGTTGTTGTGCCCTTGGGATTACAGAGCTGTTGAATCGTGATCCATTAAAGGGCAGCCTGAGAACACCACCGGTGCCATTCCTTCCTGCGAGGGGGGGCTTCTGGGGGCCGTCTCCATGGTCCAGACTTTGGCAGGTTTGGTCCTCATCCCAGGCTCAGATGTCCTTGGGCTGCCCCCACAGTTGGGCAGAGGGGTGGTGGCAGTAGAGGGCGCCGAGTCCCCCACCTTCCTCTGAGGGCTGATGCCCATGTGTGGAGCTCCTGCAGGCAGCCCTGAGACCAAGACTAGAAGCTCCTGGCCCCTCCCAGGTGCCCCATACCCAGCCCCAACGACCCTCCCAGCCACAGTTAGGGGTCTCTCAGGCTGTTTGGCTCTCTGCACGCATCTTTGAAGTGATTTATTGTTCATGTTTGTTTGAACACAAGTTTTGCGGAGGAGCAGGTCCAGCCTGGGAGCCGGCTCCAGGTGCAGCGTTCTCGGGCCCCCAGCGAGGCCGGGGGGAGACCAGCTCATCCTTTGTTAAGTAGCAGGAGATTCCCTGAGTAGAGGCATTTCCTTAGTGGATGTGTCCAGGCCTGAGCAGTGCTGGGGTCCCGGGGGCAGCATGTTGGGTTCTGGCTGCCCTTCAGGCTAGGGCACTGCCCAGGATCTCAGGAAAGCCACCCGGCTCCCCAGGACTGGCCGGCTGAGGCTCCTGCAACCGGGGCTGGGTCCCCTTCCAGGCCAGAGACTTCTCCAATTTGGTTTTAAAAAGGAGTCCATGACCTAATGGAGGACGGAAGTGAGCTCAGGAGGCTGAAGGTTCACCACCCACCAGGGCCCCCAGGGGAGGGGCTGATGGTGGCAGATGCCCCTCACCTGGGCAGTCGGCAGTCTCTTTAAAAGCTCGTTTCTTACAGCAGCCCCGGCACAGGTTAAACACACACCGGTTACCCTGGACATGGGGAAGCTAATGGGCCTGTGCTAATAATGGCCTTCACTTGAGCAAGCTACCAGGAGTGCGGGGCCCAGGCTGCCCCCAGACCAGTGGTACCCCCCGACCTCGAGGGGCTGTCCTGAAGCTGGGTGCAGCAGCCCTGCAGGGAAGCAGGGGGCCACCCTGCCCTGCACTCCCAGGGCTGAGCTCAGCCCCTGGGCAGCACAGTAGAAGTCAGCTCACCTTTGGGTTTCCACACTGGTCACACTTTGCATATTTTGCTGGTAAAAGAACAAAAGGTGTAGCGGTGAGCCCACCCTCCGCTGCCATCTCCTACCCAGGTCCCCGCTGGGGTCCCTGCTCGCTGTGGCCAGGAGGGCAGAGTGGGCAGCAAGCATGACCCTGCCAGGATGCCGACGGGTGCCCCCATCCTGCTGGCCACAGGGCTCATGGACTGCATGCCCTTCACTGTCTCCCCCAAGGAGGGCCCTGTTGGGAAGGCGGCCTCTAGCCCCACTCCTGCTCCAGCTGCCCCAGGGCAGCAGCACAGGCTGCTAGGGCAGTGACCTCCCTGAGACGAGGCCTCCCCCGCGGCTCCCAGCCCACCTGCCCGGGAGGATCCCAGCCCACAGGGGCAGCTTACGCTTTAGCATGGGGTCAAAGGTCTTGCGGGGGTTCCTCAGCTGCTTCCGCTGCTTGTTCTTGGACAGGGCATCTGTACTGCCCTCGTCCTCCAGGGCCCGCTTGCTGCGGGTAGCCCCGCTGTCCTGGGTACCCTCCCTGGGCCTGAAAGAGCAGAGCTGCAGGCAGAGCTGGGACACCTGTAAGAGCCAGCCCGCCGGCCAGTCCTGGGTGGGGGCCCATGAGCAGCACCCCAAGGCCCAGCAGCTGGTCTCAGGCCGCCTGGCTGGGGCTGGCCTGAGTGAGTGGCACTGCGGTGGGACGCGCAGGTCTGAACTGAGTACTGGGCAGGGCTGTGGCCACAGATGACAGCCCAGCCTTGCCTCCAAGAACCTCAAGGAAGCCTAGGGGGTCAGCCTATTGACCCCAGGACAAATCCACCCAGGATCAGGGAAGCTTAAGAATCTTAGGGAAGAGAATATGTAGAATCCAAGTGTCTGCTGATGGGAGGGAGGCCACCGTGGCACCCAGGAGAGGCCAGGGCCTCCACGGCCCGGAGAGCAGGCCAGACTCCCCTCCTCTGCAGCATGGCCCCCCGGCCCTCGGGCTGGACCCAGAACTCACCCTGGCCGGGAGTAGGGCTGGCAGACCCAGTGGAAGAAAGGCAAGCCATCCGAGGGCTTCTTTCCCTCCTGCCTGGACATATCCTCCTGCAAAAGCCCAGAGGGCCCTCGGTCACAGCCCTGAGCACCTTCCTGCATCCGTGCACCCCGGCAGTGCCCACACGTGCCTGACAGCGCAGCTTCAGCTCCTGGCTTACAGCGGCCACCGCCTCCAGGGTCTTCACCTTGGCAAGCTCCTCTCGGAGATGCTGGTGCACCTGCAGCCTGGGACACACAAGGCTCACGCTGGCCACCCACCCACCAGCCCCGAGGCCCGTCTGTCTCAGGGAGCCCCTGCCTGATGGCACCAAGTCACTCCAGCCCTCCCAGACCTGACTTCGTAGCACGTTGTTTAGGTACAGATTTCCAGAGCTCTCTCCCAATGCCCAGGCGGGGCTCAGACCAGACAGCGTCTGTCTGGAGGCAACTCACGTGTGGTGCCAGAGCTTGAAGAGGTGTGCCCGGACATAGGACAGAGGGCAGGGGTGCTGGCGCACAATGTCCAGGTACTCCTCAGCCAGCTCCCAGACGGCAGGGCTGCGGCCCTCAAACAGAGCTGGGTTGTGCAGGTTGCCCTCTGGGGGGAAAGGGGGCTTGAGGCTGCAGGCACTCGTGTCCCCAGAGGGACCCCTGTACTGTCACAGACGGACAAGGATGGCTACCCACTTCACAGGCTGCTGGCCTGAGTACTGGGCCCCTGAAGCAGACGGGGGCCTGAGCCTACACAGCCGGCCACCGAGTCATGATGGGGTAGCTGTGCCAGCACAGCTGTGGCGAGGGCTCAGCCTCACCTGCACTCATGACGCCCTGCACACCCGTGTCCTGGATGCAGCGCTCCACGTCCCGCAGGCACTGGATGTTCCCATTGGCAAACACGGGGATAGCCACTGCCTGCCTGTCGGAGTGGGGCGGAGGGGCAGACCCTCAGAGAGGGCGTGTCCTTTCACTCAGGCTGCCTAGGCTCCCAACTCCGCCTTGGCAGGCACCATGCTCTGCCTGTTTTGCTGTTCATGCCAGGCCCCGGCACCCCCTGGCACCTCCACCAGCTCCCAGAGGGCTAGGGGCCTATGTCCAGAGGCCTAGCACCCCCTGCCCGTGTTCAGCCCAGGTCCACTCACCGCACAGCCTTGATGTGCTCCCAGGACGCGGCGCCTGACGTGGGCCCCTTCTGCTCCTTGGTGCGCCCGTGCACAGTCAGCAACTAGGGCACACGGTGCCTGGGGTCAGCTCCTAGGCTGGCCCCAGGCCCACCCCCCGGCCGCTTTGGTGCATCAGCCTCTCCTGCAGAGCACAGGAAAGGCCTCCCTGGGCCTGACTCGCTCAGTCCCTGTGCCTTGGGCTGCATTCAGGGCCAGCAGATGCCAGGGGGGCTCCCTCAGCTCCGACGTGCAGGGGAGAGTTGCAGCCCCATTTAGGGGCTAGTCCTGGTGCACCCACCTCCTAAGGCCAAACACGTGAAGGGAGGGATGCCCCCAGCCCGACCCCAGGGTGGGTGGAGTGGGGAGGTGGCTGAGACCCAGCCCCTCCCCCTGCCAGGTCTTGGCCTCCTTTGTGCCAGCATGGGGCTCACCCACCCTCACCAGCCTCAACTCAAGCTCATTGTGATCCCTGTCCACCTCCACAGGGTGAGCTCCTTGAGAGGCACCCCTGGGGGTTCACCCCTTCCAGGCCTAGCTCAGTGCACAGAGGACTTGGGGGAGGAGGGGTCCCTGTGAGCCCACAGACCCCTCACCTGGCAGCCAGCCTGCTCCAGCATCTGGGCGTACCTCACGGTCTTGTCAATCTCTGGGAAGACCCGGATTTTGCATGTGATAGGGACAGAGAGTTTCTCATGGGCCAGCAGAACTGGGGACAAGGAGAGTCGGGTGCTGAGAGAACCATGGTGGTCGCCTCCAGGCCGACTGTGGGGGCCCACACCCTGCTGGCCTTCACAGGCAGCTGACGGCCAGCCCCCTTCCCCAGGGGTTGGGCAAGGACGCTGTGCTCCAGTCAGTGCTTACTGTCCAACGCTGTCGGGGGCAGCTGGCTCAGGCAGGGGGCCCTTCACACCTACCTTTACCGCAGGGGGAATGCCACAGCTAGGAGGGCCCTGCCAGGCCGCCCCTTCACCCCACCACTCATGCGTGCCACACACCTACTCACTCATTCTCTGCAGCAGGCCCCACTCCTCCTGCAGGAAGGCACCGTAGTGACCTGCAAGGGACCAGCACGCCTGGGCACCACCCTGCTCCCCCTCACTCCACAGGAGGACCCACCCTACCCAGTGGAGGGCCCCAAGCCCCCCGACTGGCTGCAGCCACGTCAACAGAGCCCCTGGGCCCGGGCCTTCCCAGACCAGGGTCTTTGGCTGCAGTGGGGACGGCAACTCAGCTGGGCAGTTCCTCAGTGTCAGATTTGGGGTTGTTTGTCCAGCTGCCCAAGCTCAAGGGCGCTGTGTGGAACGCCCATCCACCACGGGCCTCGTGAGGAAGGTTAGCCCCTGCCAGAGGAGTGACAGTGTGACATGGACCTCCTGGGCACTAAGGGAAGCGACGATCTTCTGAGGGCCAGGAAAACTGTCCCCTGCCTCCAGCGCCTGAGAAGGCCTGCCCTCTGGGAGGAGCTACGAAGGGGCTGGTGTGGCCGCCCTCCACAAGCTGCCATCAGACGTGGGATCAGGCCCTTCCCCAGGCTTACCCACACCCTGGACTCTCCCTGGCACCCTGAGGGCTTGGAGCCTTGCCCCAGCCAAGGACCCCAGGCCTGAACTCACCTCGCTTGGCTATCATCTGTGGGCAACCCAGATTCAGGTCGATGGCATCACAGTAATCTTGAGCCAGGAGAGCCGCCTGGACAAACACCTCTGGGTCATTGGCACAGAACTGAAAAA